TCAAAGAGGTGTATTAAAATCCACATCCCAGAATAAAAATTGACAGGACAAGGCCTGAAGAAACCCAACCTAATTGAAAATTTGTCTCTGATTTTAAATTGGGACAGACGACGTTATTTCTAGAGGCTTCTTTGAGAAAAACATTCACTTCAAGTATTTCAGTGATGGTGTGCAGCAGCCAACATCTCAGGAAATTGATAGAAAATAAAAAAAACCCCAAATTGTCTAGCCAGAGTTTGTAATTAACCTCTTTAACACTTTCTGGAGAAGGCTTTAAAAGGTATCAGTTGTTTTTATCCACCAGCTTTAACATAGCAGTAACAGTTTTGTTTCCCATATTTCCCAAGGTTGTATTTCCTTAGCCAGGTGTTGCACTGGGAGGTGTCAAAGGGGCTGTGCAGTTCAGGCACAGTGACCTGTCCCCATGACAGCACATGGGGTGACCTGAGTCCCCAGAAAGGTCCTGTAGATGTCCCCAACTCCCCACGTGTGATTGCATCACTCAGACTGTGTCTTCTGTTGCCTGGGATGTAGCTAAGGATTTCTAAGGGAAGAGCAAAAGAAAGAAGGAGCCGAAAACTATGGGGAAGGCTTTCTGAAGAAAGTCTGTGGAGTCTGTGCCAAATATAGGAGCCTGTGTAAAATACAGTAGTAGCAAGGGGAGAAAAAGGGGAAGGACTTCCACATATGTGGATCAGCATGATTCCCATAAGCAGCTTGATCTATTTTGTGTGAGCTCATTGTAATGGCAGTAACACAGAGATATATGGTGGTGCTCTGGCTCTTTTGTGGTGCTCAGAAAGCCTACAGCTTTTTACCTAATGTATTGCAAACACTAGAATTAAGCACATAGTAACCAAAATCTTTACTTTTACTATGTGTTCTCTCATATTATGATTGCAGAATTGCAATATTCTTTGTGAGCTGCCAGGTCTTAGAAGTGAAACTGTGAATTGAGGTATTATCGGAATAGGAAGGATCCTATTAAATCCTCAAAAGTGTATGATGGGTGTGAGAGTAAATGGAGTGGTTATTTCACAGGTGATTCAGTAATTGACATGTGTTGCAGTACCACTGAGGATATATTGTTTACCATGGATTATCAAGGTTCTGCTGTACAAAAGAATGGAAGAGAGTTTAAGTATGGTATTGATAAAATGTGTCTCAGAACCCAACTTCTAACCGATTTTTCTTTTTAGCATAACATTTCCTTTTAAGCTCATAGTTATACACCGTTCTCTTAAGGATTCCTTTCCTGTTTCCATAATTTGACCTTTTTCTCTCCCAGTTCTTCTCAAAGCATATCCTGATCACACTCTGTAGGTGCCATTGTCTGCAGCAGCGAGTTGATACTCGCTATCATTCTTTCAGCTGCTGCTTTTTCTTTGAGGCTTCCTCTCTGTTTGTCTAATATAATGTTCATTCATTTTTCATGCTCTTTTCTCTGGGGAAGCCTGTAAAGATATAGTAAGAGATATATGATAAATTTCTTCAAGTAGATAATTTAAAATTAATATCTGGCTTGCTTGGTAAGTGGGACAAGAAAAAAAAGGAGTAGGTTTTGATAAATCAGAATGCATCTGGTAAAGCCTTAATGCAAGAAAAAAACATCCACCTGTACTTCTGGGAGCAATGGTCAGCCCTCAGCTCCATCACCAATAAATCTGGCTTCAGTTAAATGAATTTCACGTTCCTCCACTGTATTTTATTGTTCCCTTAGGTTAGCTAAAACCATTGCTTTTGCTGCTGCTGCAATCAATGATGTTATGGAACTTTATAGTTCAGACTGAGCCAAAAGATTGCAGTTAACTATGTGTGATGATGATGAAAAAGTCAAACTCTTTCTCTCCATCATTTAATCTCACCTTGAATTATATGTATGTCACCAGAAACACAGCTCAGACATTGTCTCTTCATTATTCTGCTTATTTATATGATTCCCAAATAGTCTTCCAAATTGACAATCATCTGGAAGTTTCTTCAGTATTTTTTGTTAGAAGTTATTAGAAAATAATGATAAATTTTGAAGTTTCTGCAGAATATGACAGTATTCTTTTAATGGAAAAAAAACCCCAGACCACATGGAATTAATCAATTGTCTTCAACACTATTATATGCTGACATTTATGCTCACATATATGATACCTAAATAAATGACTTATAGATAAATAGCAAAGCTAGTCCTCCTTTTTGTTTGTATAAAATCTTCTTCTAATACTACAGTTTCTATCACTTGCCAAAATTTCTAATGCTTTGTAAGTAATTCTTTATTTTGTGGACTTGTTTCCCATCATTGCAGGTAAAGTAGCAAACAGCTTTGTTGAGACTGTTTGACAGAATTCTCTCAGCTTGTGAGAGCCTGATAGCTAAAGAATAAAGCACGTCCTGCAGCTGTCACTTGTTGCAGAGGCAGGAGCTGTGGGTTATGCTCCCCAAAATAAGCCAGTTGACTTGGAGGTTACAGTGAAGCTGACCTCAGTGGGTTTGCTGCCTTATGCTGACAAGGGATGATTGATATCAAATGAGAAAGACCTCTTTTGGGGAGAAGGAATCAAGAACAAAAGGTTCCTACTGGCCTCTGCTTCTCTTGGGAAGAAGAAAGGGACCCTCAGAGTGTTCTGACCCTGCCAAGGACCAGGGAAGAGCTACCAGCCCTTTGTTGCTGCAGGGCAGGCTGGCTGATCAGTGGCCAGTGTTGGCTGAAGGTACTCCTCCTGCTAGTTGTGCTTAGTTTTCAACCCATAGAGGTACTTTTCTGCTGGTGTGAGGAGATGAGACTGTTGGCTTTGACAAACTGGACTGCATTCTTGCTGGTGGTGAATTAAACAAAATGTATTCATTCCAGTTTGATCGCAGAACCTTGGATTAAATTATGTTTTTCTCTATTTTCTCATAAAGGACCACATCTGCTCATATGGAAATAGCTTGTAACAACACTGAAACATAAATTATTTGATGAACTGCTTAGGACTATTCACGTAATGCATGATAATCCTGTGAACATGTTAATGAGCGGCAATTCTCTGATGATTGAACTGCTTTAAGATGTCTTTCTACTTATATGTCATTAGAATGAACTTGGCCCTTCTAAAACATCCATTATTCATCATGTTCCAATGTTGAATCTGACTGCATATCACTTGAATTTGCCTCATTTAGCAAAACAATCTATCCATTAAAATAGTTTGAATCATGTTTTCTAAATCAGAAAATCCCTAGTTTATATATTGTGTTAGTTGTCTTTTCAAGTATAGCAGAGCAAAATGTAGCATCCCAAATTGTAATTACGCACTTAGTGCAGTTGAATATGCTAACTAAAACTAAATGGAAGTTTTAAGAAGTACGTTTGTTGAAATCAGTGATTTTGTTAGCTGGAGAAGTAGGATTGGTAAAACAACTTGCTGAAAGCACAAGGTTGACCTTTCTTTCTGAAATAGTTGAGCAAAAATTTTTTCAGTAATCTGTTTTTTTTTGCATGCATTTCTTGTCCTGACGACTCAAGAAGGAGAGAATTATGGAGTAATACAAGTGTAAATATGAATACTTATCATAAATATATATTTTTAATGGGTTTTCCTGCTTTCCCATGTATTCTTTCATTTTACAAGTCCTGGATCCTTTCACACACTGTGAACCCCATTAAATCTTACATTAGATTTGCTCCTTTTTGAATCTATGTGTGATAGTTGCTGTAGAAGTGGTTCTTACTTCCCAACAAGCTCAAGAGATCCATTCCAGGGAGTGCTGGGCTGCTGAATGACTCTATGTTTGAAGATTTTTAATCATATGTTGCATAAGCTCCATCTCCTTTAACCAAAAGACAGCTTTTGGAAGAGGAGATAGACTATCAACTAAATAGACCACTTGAAAAGTATCAGCAGAAAATGCTTTTGTTTTTCGGTGTAACTATGGATTCCCCATTGAGCTAGTAAAATTCTGGCAAATAACAGTGGAGATGGGCTAATAACCTCCATACGAGCCAGAAATCTTTATTCTCGGAGAGCCTGAGTCTTGTAAAATATGCACAAATAATGTGGTGACCAACCTTTAATCTTTTTGTTTTAAAAATTAGTTCAGTATTTTTATTTTGCTTTTAAAATACTTTTTGGCCTTTCTAGGAAAGTAGTCATTTATGCTGGGCTTATTTCTCACAGTTTTTTGATCAGCTATGTTTTTAACATGTTCTATTTCAATCTGTTGCCAAAGTAAGATGTTTGGGCAGATGTGGAAACTTTGTGAATGCTTTTCTTATAAGCAGTAGTTAGGGATTTCTGTTGGTTGTACTCATGCTTTCACCAGCTCTTGGTACAATAGATGTTAATGCATTATTGATTAGTATGCAGAATTGTTAAAATGTGAATAAAATATGCATTGACGAAATGGAACAATTCTGTGGTGAGAGGAAAATACTGAATAAGGTACACTTTGAAATATATAAGTAGCATTGATCTCTCTGTGTTGGACTAAGAATGTTGATAGAATCAGAATAAACTAAGAAACTCGACTGTGGGCTCACTTTTACAAGTTCTGCCTCTTCCTGTGAATCACAATCTTTTCTTTGTTCATAGTCCAGTAAATAAGAGTTAGTTTGCCATGAGTGAAGAATTAATTACAGTGAATTTTTAGTGAACCATTTCAAAACTGTATTAGCTTTTTTTTCACCATTCGTTCCTTAAAGATTTCAGCTTATGGGACATATATTTAGTGCTTAATCTATGTCAGTACCAAAACTGAGTTAGTGGTGCCTTAAGCTTTCGTAAACCTTTTAATGATTAAACTTCTAATGGTACGTTAAACTTTTCCTTCCAACTAACCATGATAATGTTTGTGGATATATTGCACATTAATGTGCAAATCAACCTTTAAAAAGCCTTATGTTCTTTATGGAAATAATTCTGAACTGTTTTGTATGGAGGAATAGTGCAAAGGGTCTACAGTTTCTAGACAATGGCTGTTTTTAAATATGAATTAATGTGTGTGTGTGTATTTTTTTAATGCAGCCCCTGTTCTCCCTGGGGCGTATCAACAAAGCCAGACTCAAGGATATGGATACATGCACCAGACCAGTATGTCATCCATGAGGTCCATGCATTCACAGCCTCATTCAGCAAGTCTGGTGAGTATTGAATTTAAAGGAGAATTTTGTTTGGTAAGCACCATCATCAGCTATTGCAAAATCTCTTAAAGATGACTGAATCAAACCCCTAGAGTTCTATAGTTCACCTATTTGACCATCTTTATCATAAATGTAACTGGTAGTCCTCATGTATGAAAAAGATTTAAGTGACTATGAACAGTGGTAAGAACTTTTATGTCTGAATACATTAAAAAAGGTATGATATTCATAGAGCAGAGAAATAATTGAATTCTTTACCTACTTAAAACAAGTGGGAGATGCTTGGACAGTGTTTTACAGGCTGAATTTTGATGTTACGCTCTGTGATGAACTCATGCTCACTGGACAAAAAACAGTGATCTCTTAAGATCACCCTGTTGGTTTAAATTAGTTTCAATTTTTTTGATGTGCTGATTTTGTGCTAACAGGTTTTGTGCCTACCTGTATTACTTCTGCTTGTAATCTCCAGATTGCTGTGCCCTTTCTAATTCCACACAACAGTCGTGCATTGACCTGTGTATGATGCAAATTTAGTTACCCTGGTGGGCAACTTTAAAAAAGCTTTATCATGAAACCACGGCCACCTCATGAAGTTCTTAACTGTGGTGGATGGGAATGTAAAGCTGGAGTGACTATTTAATTTTCAAAGTAACTGGTCATGGAAGGAGAGCTAAATGGTACTCAGCTGGGTTTTTTTAGGAAATTAAGTTATTTTTTAAACTCCCTATATAAAAATTTCAGTTTTAATGGTTATAATATTTTTAAAATCATATCGCTGCCTAGAGATTTCCTAGTTCAGATCCAGCCACTTTTTACCTTAAAAATATTATTATTTTGAATTTTGAACTATTTTGAATAGATGTATTTTATTACCTCTGTCACCTTTTTTAGAGATGAATAAATATTTAATTATGAACCAAACTTAGAGCTTGCTGAGCTGAAAAAAACTGTTTCTAAGATGAGATGAAACTTGTGTTTTTTTTATAAAACTCCATGACATTTTATATTGTAAAGGTCATGACTTTCTGTGTGGTGTGAGTACTTTCATGCTTGCTAGATTCTCAGCTGTCTGGGGCTGAGGGGGCAAACTTGCTGGAAAGTCTGGGATCCAGATATGTGCATCATTGAGTGAGTCAATAACCCGAGAAACTCTTTGGACACCTGCATGACAGCTGTGAGACAGCTGATAGTGGAATCAACCATCGATTTCCAAGGATATTACAAGGCACTTTGGGAGCTGGCTGTTTTCCAAAAGAGACAAAATCCAAGAAGTAGGAGACCTGGAAGCCTGGGCTTTCCCAGCAGATTTGCTAGTCATTGGGGAGCAAAGCAAACAGCCCTCAAATCCAGCAGACAAAATGAAGATGCCTGTAAATCTCAAAATGCACTTACCAGACTTGGCAGCTCTGTGGGCAGAGAGATGATCACTATTTCCTAATACCTCTGTGTCCCAGTCACTTACCTGTCAGGCTGTTGAAACAGTTCAGTCATCTTGAGAATCATCATTTGCCTCTGTTTCCAGAACTGGGAGTGTGAAGGTAATAGGAAAAGGAAGGGAGTGATGTTAAAGGATTTTAAAAGTAAGACTGACTTATTCCAACAGGTTTATTTTCCCTGTTGTGAAACTGTTTTCACTTGACATCATTATAAGTGATAATATTTTGTCATGGGAAAAGAATGAAAACACTAAACATCATGATTTTAAACTGATTTTGGTGTTGTTAAAAACTGAGTGGATTTCCCTTTAGAAAATAAACCCCAAGAATTTCCAGAGAGAGGAAATCAAGGACTGCTGGCCTGGTGCTGACTGCTAACTTGCCAGTCTGGGGAGGAAGACAGAGTGTGATCTTACCACCCCAGGGTGATGATTCTGCTCCAAAAGAGGCATCTCAGATGCCGTTAGAAACCTGACAGGTTTCCTGGTCTTCCCACCTTAAGACCAGAATATTTTCATTAGCCTTTGCAGCTTATCCAGGTGCATTGGATGTTTCACTTAGCTATTGAGACACCACAGAGCAGTCTCAGAGTGTGTTTGGGGGAAGCCCCTGGCTGGGGATGTGTTTAAATGCAGCAGTTTGCACAGACTGAAGGTTGATGACAGTCTTGGAGTGCTTTTAAAATGGGGTGTGGACATGCTGTAGGAGATGTGACAAACACAATGCTCAGGTTCACTGCTTTCAGCTGCCTGTTCAGGTCTGGGCTTGGAGCAGTACTGCCAGAGATGCAGTGTTGTCTCGCTAGTAACAGGGGGAGGAAATACGAGAAATCTTTCCTTTGAGGGGAAGGAGTTTGGAGGAAAGGAATCTTAGAATAGTGACCTCAAAGCCTGAGCAGTTTTTGAGGCTTAACTGAAAGCAATGAAGCTGATAAAATCATTCATCAGTGCCTGAGTTTTGCCAGGACATCTCTAGGGCAAAAGTGATTAATATCCCATGAGTTATATCAGGGTGGAGATGATTGCAGAATCAGCTGCTGTTGTACATTCACTACTTTCAACTGAGTTGTTGTATTGTTATCAAATCTGCCCCCAAAAGGCACAAGTTCATTTTATAATCATCTTCACTAGTCTCCTATAGTGAGAAACAAAATTTTTCTAATTTCTAAATTTTCAAAATCTGGTTTATTTAATTTTGAGCTCTGTTTTGTAATAGACATGATCCTGACACAATCTTTGAATAGTTTTTTTTTCTCCCAGATAAATAGAATTATTTTCTGATTCTTAACTTTTCCTCGCTTTCTGTGAGCAGTTCTGCATAATGGGTGAATTAAATTGTTGCTTAGGGCACAAAGTGTTTTATAACAGAGAGCTCTGAAGGCCGTTTTCCTCTTTGGAAAATAATGGGATGTTTCCACATTGTTTCATATCCAAGAGTGGTAGGAAAACAAAACCTCTGCTGCAAGTAGGCTTTCCCTAATAGCTGCTGTCTGTGTAGGACGCTGCAAGTTACTGCCCTTTGCAAGGAGCCATCTATTGAGCAGGTATGAATTGGGGGTGGAAATACACACCTGCCAGCCCAGAACTGGCTGGAGAGCTGAGAATATAATAGCTGGATTTCAGTTCTACACATGGGCAAGACTTACTGTTCTGTCTTAGCAGTGGGTGTGTGAGACAGACCTTTGAGGAGGTGGGAGATAAGTGAGTTTTGACTCTTTTACAGAACTCCAAACTTACACCCTCGTGTAGCTTAGTACCCGCTAAAATCACTACTGACAGAGGAATAATTCACTGAAATGCATTTTAAAAATCCCTGCTTTGAGTCCTTTAGGCATTGTAATTCTCGATTATATAGCCCAGACTACACTCTGCAGTGATAATTAGGCATTAAATGCTAACAGGATTATTATGGAGATTTCTCCTGACAGCCATTTAGCACCTAATTAGGTGTTAAGGCCATAAATTTAGGTTTCTCAGCAGCATTTAGGTCCCTAATAAATTCTTTTAAAGTTTGAAATTGCAGGCTTGTCTTCACAACTGTGCACCACAGTGATGTAAGTCAAGCTGTCTTCAGGAGACAGCAGCAGCTTGTCCTTTTGCCATGGTGCTCTAAGGAAGAGTGAGCATCCTTCTGAGTAAGCAAAACCTCTCTATTTTTCCAGTTTCATGTTAGTTTAATAAAACACTGAATCTCTTCACTAGCCTTTTCCCATTTAAGGGAGACCTATAGGCATGGCTCTAGGCAAAATCCATTTACTGCCTTATACTAGATATAGACTTGCTACCATTTTTCTTAAATGAACCAACCCTCTTTTGAAATAAATTGCTTAAAGGTCTAACTGCTGCTGAGTTTGTTGTAATAGCATATTTTTCACTGCTTTTTTGGAGTGAGTTTCAAGGCTCAGCAGTGAGATCAGTTGAAATAGTTGGAAAAAATAAGATTCTGAAAGGCAGAGAGCCTTTTGACTGCTAGTTATCTACTTTATGAATATTTATGGAATTTTTGGTGATAATAGAACCCAAGGAATTATTTACTGTCATGTATTGCATAAAAAAAAAAAAGATCCTTGTTTTCATTGAGTTCCATGCACACTTGGAAGACATTAAGGAGCCACGAGGAGAGCACATAACGTCTGGTTGAAAGCTGCTCTTGCTCCTACAGTTGCAGCCTGTAGGTCAGCAGAGGGACAAGGCATGGCAGAGAACAGTCAGAGAGCACACGACTCAAGTGCAGTTCAGGGTAGACTTACCAGGAAACGTGGTCTCCAATGGTCTCCATTTTCTCTCTGTTTAAACAGGAGCTGATATCACTGCCCTGTTTAATTTGCTCTACCAGTGATAAAGGTAGAGACAAGACTAAAAGTCCATTTCTAGCATGGGAGCAGTAATGATAAGTTGCCCTATAGAGTTTGGATTGAAAAATTCCACATTTCCAACATGTGACAAATGGCCTGCTCACTCCACGTGGAGCAATCTCCACTTTTTTGAAGAATAGTTTCACTAAAAACACTCAAGCCCGCATATGTATGATATGAACTAAAACTAATCCAGAGATGTTTTCTTGAGCAGAGAAGTTTGCTGTCTTTTAAAAGGCTCAGACAATAGTACTAGGCGTGAACTCACACACTGACTGTTTCTACCTTTTTTCTTTTTAAATTACTGTACTAGAAAAATTCAGCTACATATGGTAACATAGCAAAAATTACCGTAAGGGAAATTGGATATTATCAGTGATGCTTGAACTGCTTTTGACTTCTGTCAAGAGCCAGGGTAAGGAAAAGAAAGCACTCTTGGGAATTTTAAAATGAGCTAGTTTTATTCTGCTGTTAAGATACAGGGGGAGTCTGTTCTTCCTGACTTTGAAAATCCACTTTGAATTCCAGTAAATAATGGCATTTTATTGGTTGAGTGAAAATAAATGCTTTGTTTAGAAAAATAAAAAAAACTGAAATCTTGTCTTATAGTGGGCAGGGTTGTAAAGAAATTTCTCTTAGCTAATGATGGGATTTCATGTGCTAAATTTTGTCTGAATTTGAAAATACATGTATTCATTGAAATTATTTTTATAGACTTTTTAAAATCATGTTCTTCCTTTAGGTAATAATGCATTCATAATCCTTAATTCAGGTAAAATCATAATGGAATGAAGGACATTCAGTGAGATGAAAAAGTTAATGGCCTGGATGAAGACTGTGTTTCTTTTTGTAGTGAAGGGACAGGAGAAGCTATTTGTGAATCATGCTAATAGGGAGCAGAAGCAGAGCTAGCCTGGCTGGATGTAATGAACTGTTACTAGTGAATTAATGAGACAACAGCTAGAATATGTCAATATGCAGTGAATGGCTTGAAATCTGTTTGTTTGAAGCCATAAGACAATGTGAATTAACAGAATAATTATTTTGCTAACCAGAGCAAGGGCCTGTATTCACTGTATATTTGACAGGATTTAGAAGGACATACTGTTCCTTTTCAACAGTAACTTCTGATTTCTCTCACTGCTTTGCTCCCTCTATTCTTTTTTCCTTCTCTTTTCTTCTTTGTGCAAGAGAAGGAACCAAGGAATCTCAAGTCTAGACTTGAGATGTTACAGTCTTGTTTTCTTTTCCTCAACAGAGAACATACAGAGCTATGTATGACTACAGCGCTCAAGATGAAGATGAAGTTTCCTTCAGGGATGGTGATTATATCATCAATGTGCAACCAATTGATGATGGCTGGATGTATGGTACTGTTCAGAGAACTGGGAAAACAGGAATGCTTCCAGCAAATTATATTGAGTTTGTTAACTAATTTTTGTCTCTAGTCCTTTGAGCTTTGTTATGATTTACTTAAAATCTAACCTTTTAGAAAAAAATCAGAAGAATCTTTTAAGAGTTCATGATCATTACTTTATCACTGCTATAACAGTTTGCATTCTCACTCAGAATCCATTTTAGAGTCCTTTAAAGAAAAAATAAATAATCCACAACAAGTTCAGAGCTTTGAAAACAGCATTGCTTATAATAGTGCTCTCTCAAAATGAAAAACATGTATGGAAGCCTGGTGCTGCCAGTCCTATAAAGACTTTGGTCAATTAACTTTAAAAGGGTAATGCCTTTTCCTTACACCTCAAAGACGTTATAACCATAAAATTGGTTCATTTCTTATGGCACTCTGAAGTCACAGGAGGTTAACACATTGAGTTTGAACAGATCTTCAGATTCTTAGGGAAATGTTAAATGTTTAAGCAGTTAGCTTCCTAATAAAAATTAATATGTTGAGTAGATAATTCAGTCATTTGAATTAAAGACAAGTAACATGTCAGAAAAAAAAACCACCAATAAAATCCCCTACTGCCCAGCAGCCTTACAGTAAATATGTCTATTTTGACAGCAAAAATTTCCTGACTCTCACATATCCACATTTATTCTTGGATTACCCATTTTTTTCTTGTTTCCAAGTGATCTATTAGCTTTGCTTCCATCCTAATCCATCCGTTTTATCCGGGTCTGGATCCATGGTTCTTCAGTATCTTTTCTGCAGAAGATTCCTTGCAAAGACTATCTAAAATATAAAACCTGTCAGCTCTTCTGTTTCCGTGTAATAGTACTTAGCATCTAAATAGAAACTTCCATTAGGGCAACGTACAACCAATACTTCATGTTAGCTCCTTTACCTGTAGTGCTGTAAATAAATACCCCCGGTGCTGTGCAGTCCCACAGAGCCTGCAGTCACATCCCTTTCTCACCACAGCTATCTCGCTTAATGGCTGCTTTGCTGATGAGCTGTGTGCCTCCCCCTGCTGCAGAAACACTTGTGCCTCCGTCCAGCAGCGGAGGAGAACTCTGGTTCTTGTAGTGCATCTCGGATCAATGGCTTCAGTTTGCTCCCAAATTCTTGGTGATCCAATGGTGGGTTGTACGCTTGCCAAATGATTAAATATGGAGAAGAATTATGTTTTCTTTAAGAATTATGTTTTCTTTTAGTGACCTAATCTTTCTCATAACTGACATCAAAGGGAAAGCTAACTAAGCAAAATCCAGCATACTCTATGCCATTATGTTTCAGTTTAGCCATCTGTTGAAAACAGTAAAAATATTCTGCTGACAAACCTTCACATGTGCTATTTGGTGTCTGTTAACTTAGGGCCAGAATTGAGAGATCCAGGTCTCAGATGTGAGGCTGGCAGAGGATCTGACAGCTGGTGACACAGTGGATCTGTAAGAGGGATTTTGTCAGCAGGCTTGGGTCACAGGCAACTTGGTTTTGCTTTGACTGGGTGCTGCATTCCCTCACAGGGAGAAATTGTGGAAGGAAGGAGAAAAGAGTTAAAGATTCATGTGAGAGATTATTCATATGGATGCAGAGATGTGTAAGGAAGAAAACGTTTTTCCGATCAAATAATTTGTGGAGTTCAGCCATGTGCTAAGAAGTTAAGTTTGGAGTAGCCCTCAGAATACTGAGTCTGCACTGGTTTTCTTTAATTTCTAAAATTTTTAAAGTAGAATTTTATATGGAGCTTTTAGACAATTTTATATTTCTCATCTCACATAGTAGGCAACCCTGAAATAACTGTTTAAAAAATAAATAAGGAAGGCAGGATGGATTTGTGAATGTGACATTTCAATGATGTCAACTGAAAGTTGCAAATGCAAATACCTGCAAGTTCTATTTTTGCAGACAGTTTTTGCATACAATTCCCAAAGAACTGGAAAGCTTATGCAATTTTATTTTGGGTCTTGATAACACAGGGATGATACCAGCTGCCAAGCAGAATGGAATGACTGCATAAAAAATAATAAATTAAAAAATGTCCATGACTGTGGAATTACCTGTGCTTTCTTGTCAGCAGCCTAATTTCAGGCTAAAACTGTCCAGGAGTATCTAACTTCAAAAAATGTGTTTTGAAAGCAGAATTCTGTGACTGTAAATATGCAATTTATATAGTTGACTGCTGTGATTTAAAACTCTTGCAAGTTTTGCATAAGGAGCTGCTCTTGCAGCAGACCCTTGTGCGTTACTGGCGACACCCACATGAAATCAGCAGGTCAAATGGCTTTTTTAAAGGCTAATGTGGTATGCTGAGCTAGAAGCTCTGAAACAAGCAATTTGCTTCTGTGCTGGTTTTCATCACTGGCCATCAACAGCGAGGAGAGGAATTTTATCTTCTGCTGGCTGGCAAATTTTTCAGATGATGCCTGAGGCACAGTTGGCTGTCACTGCTGTGCTGCTCTATTAGCGGTGTAATGCTGACAACAATAAAAACAAGATGTCAGTTTGCTAACCAAATAAGAATAAAAAAGAAATATAGAGAATGTCTATATGGCATCAAGTTGCAATTTTTAGGGACTTATAAAACAGAGTCTCTACCTGTAAATATACAATAATTCTTCCTAAATGAGGAGACAGCTTTCTGTGTTGAATACTTTACATATAGAAGTTAATCAGAAAATGAGCATTTGGTGACATTAGAGAACTATGTTATGCTGAACAATAGAAATAAAATTTCCTTTATGAATTTTGAATATTCATTAGCCTTGCAAAGCAGCTCAAGCAATTTGTAAAAAATAAAAGGTCAAGAAAACAAAACAGTATGTGAATTGTATTTCTCTTGAGAATGGTATGTCAGCAGAATTACTAAGATCTGGTTTAAGTTACTTATTCTTGTAGTCAATTTTTTTGTCCTATGTGCTTAGAAATTCATATTTATATGGAATGGTTCCTGCTTTTTGATATAAAACAAACTTCAGTGTGATTTTGCAGCTTTGTTCTAAGCAATGCAAAGGCCCAAAATTATCAGAATGCAATTATAATTTTTTTTAATAAGAACTAAAATTTGTAAGGCAGGGAGAGTAAGTCATTAACTAAATTGTGCCAGCACACGTTTTTTAAAGCATATGTTGGGAGACTGTTACGTGCAGTGTGATATAGGGGTGAAAAAAAGTTAAATGCTGTCTTGTCATCTTTAAAGTTTATACTCATTTTTAGCACAGCATGTTCCCCTCACTGTTCTTTCTTCCTGTAGTTAACATTTTTCTGGGGAAAGGAAAGGGCTTTTTAAGGACTTGAATTTCTCAAGCTGTTCCAAAGTTCAGGTTGGAAGTCCACGTGTTCCCATTTTAGAAATAAAGAATTCTGTAAAGAATGCTGTAATTCTTGCTAACACGAATATAAATGTAGAAAACAACATAGAGCATATTCATGCATACATACAAGAACAAATGGGTGCCTTGCTTTTCATTACTCTTTCTTGCCTGGCTAATCTTCATTTTTTTAAACAAAGCTATGTACAGGTACTGCAGTTGTAATTTTTCATTATGGAACATTAGCATTTAGTCTTGATGAAACAGGGTTTTCTTGATTACATTTGACATACAATAAACTACTTCAGCAGATTGGGATTTGATGGAGAATCACCTCCCATGGATTATGTTTTTGACAAATGTGTCCCTGCCGAGTGTTTCTTGGGGATGTGGAAGGTCTCCAATACTTGGTAAAGGTAATAATTCTAGTTTTTATTGTACAATGACTGCGTGTCATCTTGTACAATGAAAAAGAAATGACAAATACAGAGGTCTTTGGCAGAAGGTGGTACAGGGTATAAAATCATAGATTTTTATTAGGTTGATTAATACTCCATTTAAAATATAGAATATGCTTTAGTTAGTAAATGTTGAAATAATATACTGAAACAGACAGAAGATGCTGTTGAAAGAAGTCCTCCAAACTGATGTGCTGGCAAATGCAAAGTACTATTGAGCTGTAGAAGATGAAACCATTTTGCAATGCTTTAGTGATTTTCTCCAGCTTTATGCCATAGGAACCCCATCTCTCCTTTGGAAAGAAAACCTGAAAGCTCTATTTCCTAAACTGCCTGCACTACAACAGTATATTCAAAGGAATTTCATATGCTTCTTGTGTCTGATAAATAGAATTTGCATATTGTACTTAAGTTGTAATCCAGTTGTTGTTGACATTTGTTTAATTATTATTATTTTAGGGGGGAAAATAAGCTATACTGTAGCATTTCAATTGTGTATTTAATATTACTATTAGAAATTGCTAGACCATTGGAAGACAGCAATGACTGTATTGACATTGATTAGCATGATGTGGAAAATCTCTCAGCTGTTGGTTTTTGCAGTGTGATATAAAAAGCAAAAATGAACCGCTGTGCAGTTTGGCTTATGTTTGCTTTAAAGTGTGTAAAGTTTTAGTTATTTTGCAAAACTGTACTGTATTTGGGGGTATACAGTTATGAAGGTAACAATTGTTTTTCAAAGGACAGATAAACTTACTCTTTGTTCATATGATGTATCATCTTAATTTGGCTTTTGTTATGCAGAAAGTTAACACCAGCTATTAAAATATATTTTAGTAGAAATGCTTTAATTCCTGTTTCTTCCTCTACACTGTGAATATTTAAGCTTTGGTGGACTAGAGCAACATCATGCTGCCCAAAGTACTAACCTATGCAACCTAGTTCACATTTTAGTTGATGTCACAGTGGATGTAACATAACAATTTATTTTGCATAACATTAAACTTCATTCAAATAAAATATTAAACCCAGCACTATGTATGTATTATATTCATAAACAACACTCTGTAAAACTACCATACCCATTAGTATAAGCTCTCAAAGATGGATATTGCTTTAACTAAGGAAGCTTTGAGTTTTCAAACTTAAGTAGAATATTTAGCACTATTTGTCAAGCTTGATCTCAGAAAATAGTTTTCTAAAACACTGTTTTATTTCAGACATGGCCTCTCCTTAAAAGGTTAATTTGCCTTTTTCAGTCTGCATTTGTAACCCTTCAACAGAACATCAAGTTACATTCCATGACCCTTGGTTTATTTAAATAAGCAAATATAGTAAGTGAAGGATGTTTTAATTGATACTGGTTTGCTTGTCTTTGAATGAGAATTTGGTTAGGTGTGCTCTCAGTTCAGCACTAATAAAGAAGATTGCATTGCTGGCTTCTTTAAGACAATTTTATGTACAAATGTCATCTTTATTCATTTGCACAAGTAAACTATTTTTAAAACATGTAAGAAAGTTTAAGGTAAAATAAAATGAAGAAGTATTTTGGAACTGCTCTGCCTGTAGTTGAAGAAGATTATTATGCTTAGGGACATGTTTTATTTATTTGAGTATTCAGTGAAAAGTACAGTGGACTGCATTAGAATTTTTATGTTCTTGTCAAGTGTTGGTTTGAAGAAGAGCAATGTATGAGGACAAATGGCAGCTACAAATGGAACTGATTAGTTCCTCCTAGGTAAGTGACATGCAGTTGCTACCATACTAATTTCTCCTTAAGAAATGTGTTAGCATTTCATATGAAGTTTAATTGGTTACAAAATTTTGATTCCCTGTTCTGTAGTGCTTTTATATATTGAAGTGCTGTCAGTATAGAAATATACTATCTTTATACATACTGTAGCAAACAGGAGTTTTCAATAAGATAAATATTTAAGAGCTGCCAAAATGGACCTTAAGCACTTGGAATGTGTTTTATTTGAAAATCCCTCCATAATTTGCTAGAGGAACTGAAGTGCTTTCCTGTCTTAGTGGCCCCATAAAATATAATTATCAAAAATATCTCTACTGGCACATGAAATTCTTGTGGAAACCTTCTATGCTGTGCATTGAAGAACTCGAGAGTTTCAAGCTATCAATGTTTATAGCATGCCCTTATTTCTGCTCTGTCTCAGAACTGGATTCTGGATTTTCTCTGGTGTGTTAATTAGCAAGAATAAGCTCATGCACCACAGAGCTCTTGGTGCTGAGGGAATTGTTGCCCAGTGCATGAGCACTTTTTCTCTCCCTTCTGCCACTTACACCACCAAACCCAACCATGTTTCCAATACTGTTTTGCTGTGACTACCTCTCTCATCTTTCCATGAAGGTACGTGTGGGACACATTAAAGTGATATCACCAAATGAGCCAAGTTGTTTTATTCTTCCAAATGATTTATTTTATCATCTTCTTTCGGCAATTCTGTTTATTGCACAACCTTGAAAACAGTAATATTGGCATAAGGAAAGAAGCAGCATGAAATGGGTGGAAGGCATAGCTGAGGTGAAGTCATAGATTTCTTACTCAGATTTTGCTGCAGAGGTTAATAAAAGTCAGCTGTATGACTGGGGGCACCATCTGAGCAGCTAACCTGCAAGCTGAGCAGTGCTGTGTGGATATGCTTGGCCTGCCTGTGCGTGTGTCTGTGTTGTAGTGTCAGAAGTACTGTGGGGTAGTATGCAGATACCTTCTGCAGTTTTGGAGCAATTAGTTGGAATCCCAAGAGCAGGCCACTCACTGGTATATGGTATTCATAAAGACAAATTTATCCTTTGAGAAAATGGGACCTCGATACAGAGGGAACAAAATGTCAGTAGGTTTAAACTACATATTTTTGTGCCCAGCAGTAAGGAAATTCTTTGTGTGCAGTCAGAAGAATAAGCCCCATGACACTGCAGCAAGCTTCTAAGTCTGAACTGTGTTTAGTTCCAGAATGAGATGATGTACCACAGAGCTCACCTGCTCCACAAATTCAATACTGCATGAAGTGCTGTGTGTGGGCATTGTGCTTAACAATGACAGCAGAAACTGGAGATTATATTTAGGCACTACATCCTAAAGAGATCCTAAGAAGTCCTTGATTTTATATATTTTAACTTTGATTTCTTTCTCACTTGTCTGCTGATAAAATCTAGTATAGAGAGGCCTGTTCTCTTGTAGAAGACTACTGGCTTGTGGCTTTGACCTTTTTTTTTTGACAAGAAAAACAGAGGTCTGCAGGAATTAACATCTGAATGTTTAAATATTGCTTGATGCAAAAATATCCATTTTTCAATGTTTTCACAAACAACTGTCAGCTTTTGTGATTGTTCTTTGATTCAAGCCATAATTTTTCTGTGTTTTTCCTGCTCCTCCAGCTTTCTTCTCCTGACACGCTTACAGCCTGTGTTGCTTATATTATACAGCAGCTTTTCCAGGACCCAGATGAAATATTTTTAGGAGGTTTCTCAAGCCACTGAGTAGTATATTTAAAGGGATTGAAAAAATGCTACTGTTATCTCCCCATTAAATTCTTCCTCCCCCAGCAGTTGTATACTGGCTGCACTGTCCTTCTTTGCCTCTTGCCTCCTCTTCCTTCAGTCAAGCTCTGACATCTCTGTCATCCAGCCTGATGGCTTGGGGCCCCTCTAGGCAGGCCTTCAGATCACTTTCTGGCCTCCCTAGATTCTGCATTCAGATTTGGAACTTTAGTGTGGCTCACCTACCTGTTCTCCTGTCAAGACCTTCCCATGTAAC